ACACACACACACACACACACATTTAGTGCATGCACAGTACCGCACGTGCCTTTATCATTGCAATGGCACACTGGTACATGTGTACACGTGCTACCTCACAGGCACACTGTATATGCATGTACTGGCTAACATGCACACTGCTGCCCACAGATACAAGAGCACGCAGCACAGACTCACATGGAATCACTCATGCCATGCCTGTGCGGTTGGGACAACTGTGGGCTCCCACCGCAGTTTCCAGATCATCCCAGGGAAAAGGGTGATGCTCCAGGCTGGCAAAGAATCCACTCTTGCTCCATGGGTAAATGGGTTGAAGACTGCCCCTCACCACTGGGAGCTGTGTGGACTCTGTGGCTGCCTGGCCTGGCTCCACCCACAGGAAGATATTGGGACAATGGGTGGGTCTTTGGCCATAGGCAGGACAGTGTTCCAATTCCTCCCCTGGGAGCCTGACTCACCTTCTCGGCATGTGGGCCCTGTGTAACTATCCACACAGTGGCACTGCCCACTGATAGGGTCGCAGTCAGCTCCGCCCCCGCAGTCACAGTGCAAGGCACAGCCAGGCCCGAAACGGCCCCGTCTGCAATCTGCAGGGGCAGGAGGTGGGAAAGACAGGCATGAACCCCATCCTGTCTACCTCGGCCATGGAGAGAGAGAGCACAGGGGGGCCTCCTGGAGGAGTTGAGACCCTGGGCCTCAGTTTCCCCCTGAAAAGAAAACAGTCCCTGCCCACTTTCTTCATCAGTGTTCTGTAACCAAGAGCTCCCACATGGAAAAGCACCAGTCTCTGGTACACACTGAGTCACCACCCATTATTCCTACCCAGTGCCTGGCTGGTAACAGGGTGCAGGGGGACAGCTGCTGCCCCCCGGGCTGGAAGGTCCAAGAGCTACAGGTCAATTGTGCAACCCCAGCAGCAGGAAAGCCCCCATCCTCAGGCAGGCCTCTGGTCTGGAGGAGTCACAGCCACGACTGACAGTCAGGGACATACTTCCGCGTCACTGGGGCCTCGCTCATGGTGGCCAAGTAGAGGCCTGAGACTCGAAGTCACAGGGCAGGGCCTAGCCTTGGCAGCCCCAGTGGGTGTCCTGAGCTTGGTGCTGCCTGTTCCAGCTGCTGCCACCCCACCTGAGCACACAATCCGAGGCAGAGCTCCCAAGAAGGCACAGTGCCCAGTCTGGGGCTTGGCATGCAGGCACCCAACCCACGGGATGAATATTTGCTACTGGCAGAGACCCACCCCCATGTCTCCTCCTGGGCGGGACTCTCCACTTACCCAGGTCACATGTGGCTCCTGTGTGCCCTGGTGGGCACAGGCAGAGGCCACTGACAGGGTCACAGGGCACTCCCTTGTCGCAGCCACACAACTGTTGACAGCCCTCTCCAAAGAAGCCTGGCTCGCACCCTGGTGGGGCAATGGGCTCAGCCTTCCTCTGTCCCATATCCAAATGAAATAGGGACAGGGTAAGGGAGTTGGGTAGGGACCTAGGACACTCACCCCTCTCACAGAACTGTCCATGGAAACCAGCGGGGCAACGGCAGCGGCCACTGACAGGGTCACAGGGGGCTCCCTGTTGACACTCACAGGCTCCCTGGCAACCAGTTCCGTGGAAGCCAGGGGGACAGGCTGAGGGAGGACCCTGGTTAGGGCAAGTTGAGGGCAGGAGGCAGCAGAAATCCCCAGTTTTTCCAGTGTGAGTAAGGATCTGAGTCGGGGAGTTAAGAAAAGCCCCCTCCTATGGGTGGTAGTCTCCCCCCAGCCCGGCTCCCGTCATAGGTCCCAGCGTCCCAGCCAGGGCTCACAAGGGTGAGGCAGAGGCATGAGAAGCTGAAGTTGTGCCCGTCTCCACCTGCTCTGCATGACCTTAAGCGGGCACCTCCGACCTCAGAGCGTGGTCAGGGCCAGCCCTCTGTTCCCATGAATAATGACTGAGAACGCAGCCATTGCTCTCGTGAAGCCAGGGCCAACCCAGATGGTGTGCATGGGGTAAGAGGACAGACCACTCACAGTGCTCGCAGGCCTGACCATAGAAGCCAGGGCCACAGTGGCAAGCACCCGAGGTGGGCTCACAGGTGCTGTTGTTCTGACAGGAACACTCCAGGTGGCAGGCAGCACCATAGCGCCCAGCAGGGCAGGCTGGGGAGGGACAGGAAGAACAGTCCTTCAGGTACCTGCCTGCCTCAGTGCCCCAAGGCCCTAAAACAGGTCCCCAAGCCCTGCATCCTTCTCAGGGTCCAGGGTAAGGCCCTCCCTTATTCAGTGCCCACCTACACTTACCCTGCTCACAGTGTGGCCCCATCCAGCCCAGGGGGCAGGAACAGCTACCATTAGCAGCGTGGCACAGGCCCCCGTTCCTGCAGGCACACTTGAGTTCACAGCCCTTACCAAACCGGTCCCGGGGACAGCCTGGGGGCAGAAGATGGGCAGGTGAGAGCTCTGGACAGGGTTGGACATGCTCTGGCTGTGTCCCTGCACAGGTTGGCATTCATTTAACAAATCCTGAGGTGTCCATGCTGTCCTTGTTCACCCAAGGTCTTGAGAAGCCAGGTCTGAGGGTCACTCTGAGATATGGGGACCATGGCCTTCTAGGGCCCGGGAACACCTGCTCAGCCATCAGGGAGGAGTCAGGCCTCCCATCATACTTCCTCAGTGCTAGGAATACACATCCTTCAGACCCAGCAAAGGACGTGGCCGACCAGCCGTGTGGACTCAAGGGGTGGCCTGTTGACCGCCTGGCATTGCCAGGCCACGTCACTGTCCTTGCTGGGAGTGAGGTGGGACCAGGAGACACACCAGCTGTAGCCAGGCCCTGGGCTTCTGATCCTTGGCTGCACCCCTCACAGGAGCTCCCAGGCTAAAAGCAGCAGGCATG